AAAAAAAAAAAAAGACACTACCCATTGAGTATGCTTGCAGCAGTTATATGTCTCAGGCAGAGCTTGCGAGCTTTTCTTTTTATTAAGAAGAGTTGAAGATGCCTTTTAAAGGTCACTGAAACTTCCCATAGTGATTACAGATGGCAATAGGAAGCACCCAGGGGACACTGGCCAGTTGTCAAAGATAAGCTGACAGAGGAAGCCTCATGCATTAAATCAGTCCCTACTGGGTCAGCCTCAGCATCTCTTTGCCTGCTGGAGAATTAAAACAGGATAATCTATCTTTACGCATATCATCAGAGTTAAGTCTCTAGGCATCTTCCTTTATTAATGAGAAACCACCTCATTCCCAGAGGATGAAATCTTTAAAGCCCTCTGTGAGGATGCATCTGGGGGGCGGGGGGGAGGGTCAGGGGGAGGAAGGCACTGGCCTTCAAGAACCACAAGGACCCACCCCCAGGTCTCTGCTCACCTCCTCTGTCCTCTGGGCCCGGGGATGGTTGACTAGGAAGATGCCCTCAAGGACAGTGCTGGGAGGTCAACGAGAGCAGCTGTGGGGGCACCATGTGCTGATTTTGGTCTTCACGCACTAGCACCAGCAGCTGTGGCCTAACGAGGGTGCAGGGTCACCATCTACCCAGCCACCACCCGCCATACAGAGTGGAAACACCAGAGCTTGTGTGGACGATTCAGCCAATGACCTTGGGGGCAACTGAGTCCCTACGTCCCAGCACAGCTGGCAGTTCAGAGTGGTTCTTCCGAAGGGTACAAAAACCAACTTCTACACTGTAAGAAGAGACAGAGGTAACCAGAAGGTGGGAGGCAGAAGGAGCAGGTAATCAGTTCCTTTGTATTGATGGATGGAAACTGGAATTCTGGGGTCAAACATGTGGCAGTTGATACCGACACTGGCTCACGAGGCAGTCCCTAAACCTACACCTTTTAATGCTACCCCAATAAAAGAGCGCCCTTTAACTGGGCTGCTTTTGCTCTCACAAGACACGAGTAAGCCTAGAGACCCTTGGTGGCGCCAGAGCCAGTGAGCAGAGGCCAGGACGCTGCTACACAGGCCCGGTGATGGGGCCACCCGCTGCGCCAAAGCTGAGCAGCCTGCCCAAGGGGAAGAAGGGCAGGAGGGACCCTCAAGGACGAGCCTGGCCACTGTCAGTGAGAGAGCTCTGTGCATGTCACTTCTGCTGTTCCGTCCCACGTGCCCATCCACGTGCTAAGACATCTGGATACATTCAGAAGAGACCTGGCGCATAAAGCTTTAAAGATACTCGTCTTCTGAGCATTTTAGTACACTTACCTCTGCTGGCCCCTCAGGGGAAGGAAGAAAGGAATGGTTGCCAGTACAGCAGGGTCTTCTCTCCTCACACAGCCAGCCACACAACATTATCCCCTGGAGGGGAGGTCTGAGGGCTGTTTCTATGGAAGGCACGTGTGTGGAATGTTACAGTGGCGAGACACACACGCGTGTGCACGCACACTCGGGCCCTCTCGGCCTGTCCCCCCACCCACCCCCAGCAGGCTGGACAGGATGCTGACCAGCACGACAAGCCCCCCATGCACACTGCCACCACTGACAGCCTGGACACTGAGGCTGGAACCACAGGCCTGAAAAGACACACTGTCCAAACAAAGGTTTTTTTGTCATCTTGAAGTCAGAATTATTTAAGTTAACCCTTTCGCTGCTGGGGCCCAGCCTCGCGACCCTCAGGGAGAAGCAGGAATCTGGTCTCCCAACACCAGCCAAGGGAGCCGGGCGTCGTTGGCTTCCACCACCGGCCCCTTGCTGCCACCCAAAGTGACTGATCAGCCCTCTGATTGAAGTGATCATAAGGCCTATGCATGTGCACGTGCCAGCGAACCCACGCAATCATGGCCCATGGGCCTAGCTAATGTGCTGTGACTTCTCAGCTACCCAAGCTCCCGCGGCTCCCAAGGCAAGTAAACACCTCTGCTGTGTCTTGGGGAAAAGGCCAACTGGTCTGAGCACTATCATCAAAAGCCAAGAAAACACCAGTAGCTGCTTCCTACCTCAGTCCAAAGTCCAGCTCAGGGCAAGATGATGGGCCCAGCCCCAAACTTGACCAGTTTCCCTATAGCATCCTATCAAGTGGCAGACCCAGCGGAAGCCAGGGCTCATCTCCAAAATCTTTTTTGGAACCCCAGATAAGTTCTGATGAGCCCCAGTAATCACCTGTCCCTGCTAACAGCCCAGATTACCCCCTGGAAACTCAGGGGTGTTCGGGATAATTGAAGCAATTTTTCAGAAAAAAAATTATCCCTACTTTGTTATGTAAAATACAGGAAAACCATCTCCATGAATTAACATGACATGTTCAGAAATCCTAAACTCAACATTGAATTCATGGCATGGATGAACACATCAGACAGTAAATATTCCCAGCCCGCCTAGAGGAGGGAAGGGCGGGATTCCTAGTTCTAGTTCAGACGCTGCACCCTACTCTCCATGCGGCTCAAGGCAGGTGCTTTCACAGGCCATCGGCTCCATTTCTTAGGGTGAAATGAGTCTCACATGAGCAGTGCTCCCCAGAGAGTGATCCACGGGTCATCTATCTCTGCTTTCATGGAAGCTTGCCACCCTGCCATGAGGCCCACAGGTAGTCCCAGGAAGTTGGCACAGTGCTCACGGATTGTGCCCTCTCCTCCACTTCCTGGAGCCCAAACAATGCACCCCAGGCCCCCTTTGCCCGGGGCCCTTCAGAGCTAGCATGGAGCTCCCAGCTCTGATCCTGGGCTCACAGAAAACCCAAAGAGTAGGAGGCAGCAAATCTAGCAGAGACAAAGGAAGTTAGCATTCCCTGACTGAGTAAAGGGTCCCAAAGGAGGAAGGAGAAACAGGAGAGTATACGTATTCTCCTCATGGAACTGTCATCCCTTCCACACCTCCCGCCAGTGTTTTGCAAGTTCAGAAGTCGCGGGCTGCCTACCGGCTAATACACGGCCACCTCCTCCCAGAGAGGGTTCCCGACCTGTGAGCCATCAGCAAGAAAAGGAATGTCAGGGTTTTAAGACCCTGACCCAGAGTCCATAGAATAGTCCACTTGGCAGGGGAGCAGCTTTAAGGAGAGGAGGAACAATATTCTGGTCTTTAGTCCCAAAATTCACCAGGGGACACTACACCCCCAGATTTGGTGGCTGATTGTGGTTAAAAGAGTTGCAGTCCTTCCCCCTCTCTTAGAATATACTAAGAGTCTAAAAAAATACACTCTATGTTTTTCCTTTTTCTAAAGGGGGATTTCAAAAGCTTTTCTTACAATCTGCTCTTCCTATGAAAAAGGAAAAGAAAAGCCACAGAAGCTTCATTAAAAAAAAAAAAAAAAAAAGCCAGCTCAGCCATTTCTCCACTTGAATGCGGTTGTGAGTGCTCAGCTGGCCAGATTCATCTTGCTCTAACTCCCTGGACCAGGGCACCTCTGGGAAGTTCCCAACAGCCCTTGGAGACTGGGTTGCCAGGCTGTCTGGCTTGGGGACCTGAACATCTGAGAAGCGGGGAGACTGAGGGTTTCCATGGTGACCACTGAGGAGCCCAGGTGCAGTCTCTAATGAGGCCGGCTAGCCAGGCAGCACTCCGGGAGCAAAGGTTGTGGGACATTCCAGAAAAAACACAGGCCGCCAGGCTACTCAGCTCTGAGTGGTCACTTGCCTGTCAGTGAGCACTTCCTCCAGGAGACAGAACCACTCTGAACTCTACACATCTGCTCCTGTGCCGAGCTCTGTTCCATCATTCTTTCATGTAATCACAGTCAAAATCTCAAGAGTTTCTATCCCCTTTCGTGATGGGTAAACTGAGCAGCTCCCCCAGCATCACTGAGCCATGAAAAGTGGCTCCAAGCTTGCTCCGGTGTCTTACTCTTGCCCAACATGGCTGGATTCTGAAAACGGTCTCAAATTTTTGTTCTGAAATAGCAAGTCATCATAGGAAACAATTCCATGAAGAAGGTTTGAAAAACTTGGAAATAGGTCAATAATGAGAAAGAGAACAGAAATGACCTTACACCTAAGCAAAGCAAAACAAGTATTGTTAAATCTTATGGTGTGAGTTAGAGAGCACTGGGAACCCCAGTTGAGTCACATCTACTCTTGTGCCTGTCACAGATTCCAGGAACACAATCTTCAGTAAATTAATTCCTTAAGTTGAGATGTTTGTCCCAAAGATAAGTTTAAAAAAATAAAACCACTAGAGTAATAACAATCATCAACACTTTAGTATAAATTAGTGCAAGCAGGACATTACTACTGAGGGAGCAGTCAGCAGTCGAAGGAGAGAGAGGGAGGGGCCATGAGGAGACAGAAGCAAAACACAAAACAGTGTCTGGAAAAGGCAGGTTTTTAAAGAGGTCTTAGAAGTCAGGATTTTGCTGAAGACACTGTGGTGAAGAAATTACAAAAACAAGGTGGGTGGATTGACAAGTCTCTACTTAGTGCAAATATACTAAGGAAGCCATCCTCCATCATTAGGAAGGAACTGAGTGCACCTCACATTTTCAGCAAATGTGTTGGCAAGTCCATACTAAACCCACTGTGTTATCATTCCAGAAACACCCATCTAAAGGAGGAAAGTAGCAGGGTGGTAGGGTGGGGGCGGGGGGGGGCGTTTAGTAGTATCTGTGACTGTGGGAAAAACAGAAAATCAAATCATAAAAATCATAACAATAAACTATTCCATTAAAAATGACAAGCTAACACTCTAATGACCTCTCTGGCCCCTGTCAGGCTTAAGTCAGTTGGCTCCAGAGGGCAGGGTTTAAACTGATGCAGTACTCACTCGAAAGACCTTCTCCACTCTTGCAATGCTTTTGCCAAAGATGGTTCCAAGTTGGTCTCCGATTCCAGCCAATAAGAAACCAAAGAGCGGAATTCCAAAGATGGCATATAAAATACAAAAGATTTTGCCTCCTTCCGTGCTTGGAGCAATATTCCCATACCCTGGTGAGAAATATTAAAAAGAGAGAGGGAGAGTGGTGAGGTGGCAGAGAAATCAGAGAACAGAAGCACAGAAGGCACAGAATTCTGCGAGGGCCTCTGTATCCCCCATTCGTGAGCTTCTGGGAGCAGGACTCCATTTCCACATTCTCCATAAAATGCGTAACATCGATCCATCGCTTCTCTTCCTTCTCCCATAAGTACAATGGTTCTCAAGAGACCCAGCTTTCCTGGATCTTAATATATTTAGTTAGATTACAGTTTGGAAATTGGTGGTCACCCAGAATTATATTCTGGATGGAAAAAGGTACCATCCACTTCAGAAACACCCAGCATTGTGGACATGTTTGATTCAGGGAAACTGAGCATCTGAGAAAAGCTGAGCATCGTCTTAGATGTGAGAAGACAAATTAGACTCCTTTACAGTCTAGTCCCCTGGGCACGCTCTCCCGACAGATGGTGGCTGTCATCAACACTTGCCTGTGAGGGGTGACAGAGGAGATGTGGCCTACGGGTCACAGAGCCCACCCTGGGAAGCCTGCAGAATGAAGATTGGGAGAGGAAGGCCATGCCTCTTCCCTGCATGAAGTCTTGTGAGCACCACCTTTCTCCTCTCCCTGGGAGCTCCTATCCTCTGAGTCCTTCCGTTCCTCTCGCTCGCTTCTTATACCTTAGAACCTCCAGGTGTGCAACAGTTTGCTGGACTGGATGTTTGAGTACAAAGGAGTCCTTTTAAGCCAGGTCTACAAACACATCTTTCAAAAAGAGCTTTGAGAACACCAACGTCTACTTTCTCAGGAATTCTGCAATGACTTAAGTCACATCTGTATTGTGAGTACAGGACTTAATCTAGACGGCTAAGATGAAAGAATGTAATGCTGGAAGAAAAAGACTTCAGCGTTAGCACAATATGGAGAGATGAGAGTCCAAATTACTTGATATTCATTTGCATGCAGCTACCAAACTCCTTCCAACAGAAGGGTGATGCCTGTGTCCAAATCATGCAGTGGGTGGCTTCCTGCGCTCACGGCCACTGGTATGCCAAGATGCCACATGGGGCAGGGCAGTGCTGCCCATCATCCCCCCTCCTCTGGGCCTGCAGAGCTTGCTCTGGCTTCTTGCCTTGGGGTGATGAGTCACCCATTTTCCTTTTCAATTTTCTCATCAGAATCACTCAAACCTGTTATCTCAAATTATCTAAATTACAGTTTCCATTTCTTAAATGAGTGTTCAGGCAAGTATTCCTAACCACGTTGCTTTACTCATCACCAGTTTGATTTAACTATGCAAAGAAAGGCTTAAAACTTTTTGCGGGGCCTTCAGGAACTTGCACATTCATTTTTCTAAGCATTCTTCTGTAGCACCATCCAAATCATATTAACACAGTCCTGTTGAGAAGGGGGGAAATATGCTCACACACCTTCTCTCCATGCAAGTTTGGAACATTCTAGCAAGTCTACTAAGAATAGTGGGAGCACTTGTGACCCTGGCTTGGCTGTCTCATGGCTCTTCCTTACTGTCCGGGAGGACAGGTTATCTTTCAGCCTCACAGATCAGATGGAAACATCCTGCAGACACATGCCAGCAGTGGCCTCCGAGAGGCACTGGATCAGCCCTGACAAGATTTGCTTTCGGAGACAGCCTGCCCAGCCACCTCCTGGGGCACTGGGCTCGGGAACATGCCCGGGTCACCCAAGAAGCACGAGAGAGCAAGGAGTGAGAAAACAGAGGCTCTCACTCCACCTCCCGTGAGCTGGGTGTCCTCAGACTCACCTACCCTCTCTCAATCCTCGTGCCAGAGGTGCTCATGGAAAAATCACGACATTGTAAAGGAAAATACAAGTCAAAGTATGATTATCATCATCACCATCACCATGATTGCTATGACAGCGATTATCATAATTGGCTCCTTACTCGTTCAGTGACTCACAGACCAGAACACTAAAATAAAAGGAAAGCAAAGGATTTGGGTATGGACATAAGCGGAATGAAATCAAGTCTTAAAGTGTATTTAAAGTCCTTCATATCAGACATAAAGTAACCCCACTCTTGAGGATGGTTATTACGTGCATGCAGGGGGGTGTGGGGTGTCTTCTGTGTGTTGTCCCATGCCTCTGATGAACTATATGGAGAAACTGTTCCACTCACCCTCAACCCCGTCACTGTGGGAAAATTCCACAACATGCATTTTGGCGTTCTGCTCTCAGACAACAGGAGGGTCACAGCCCTGGATCTTTGGCTCCAGTAGTACTGGGACTGCTAGGCCGCCCTGCCCATCCTCCCAGAATGCTCGGGAGGTCTCTGGAGCCAGGTGTAACATCGTACACAGGCTCCAGAACTAGACACAGAGGCTCCTGTTCAGAATCTCCCACTGACTACCTAGCTCTCCTGGCTTGCTATCCTCATCTAAAAGATGGGGCTAGAACTCGTGCCTACCTTAGCACTATGAAGGATGAAGTGAGTTGCTGGTGAAGCGTGAGTCAGCTGTGAACAGTAAGCACGTGGGCAGCGTGCTGCAAAGCCAGCAGCTAATATGTACCAGTGACTATCACCTTGCTCGGGTGTCCTGTGGAGGGGAACTGGGTTTGAGCAATGTGTCTTTAGGAAAAGGAAGCCCAGGAGAAAGCAGAGGGTTGGCTTCTATTTCCCCGGAAACTCTGCTGTTCTCCCCAGCACCAAGATGAGGTGCTGAATGCCTATAACTCAGGGTGGGCTCACTCATTGCCTTGGGTGGGTTCATGGCTGGGTTAGGGGTGCAGCTAGTGATAGTCAGGGCTGGAAAATGACAGTGGGTGAGAGTGGCTAGAGACACAGTTGATTACATGGAACTAGCCCAGACCTAGAGACAGGATTTAAGTAAAGCAAAGGAAGTTCCAAGGAGCTGCTCTACCAACTGGCTGTGGAGACTTCTGACAGGAGATGAGGAGCCCAAACTCCAACCAAATCAGTCCATCCTCAAGCCCCTTTCAGTCCCACACTGGCCCATTTTCAATCTCGCACTGGTTGTCTCAAAACTGAAACTGCGCCAGTGTGTCTGGCCTGACTACTCTGAGGTTGGGCTTCCAAGCCGAACACCAGGCGCCCCTCTGGCACTGGCCAACCTGGAGCCTGACAGATGCCCCTAGGGCTCCTCTCAGATTCATTTTCAGTCCATTTTTCAATCCCACGCTGGCTCCATGGGCTCCTCTGAGAGCAGCTTCCGGCCAATGACTGGCCCAGCGGGGATAAGGTGCAGGGCCCGAGGCAGAGCCTGGCTGGAACACAGCCTCAAGCCCTGGATGGGGAGAAGCACCGTGGTGGAGTTTACAGAGGGCTGGTGACTGGTGACACCACACATCCGTTTGCTCTTTACATCAAAAGTCCGATCTCTGCCCAACTATCTGCTGTGCAGCTCCGACATGTGGTGAAGAGCGTGCGTTCGAGAACCACAGTCTGCACAGAGGGCTGGCTTCGGGGTGGAAGCTGTGCAGGCACCGAGGGGCCTGAGCTCAGAAGAGCGCGTGCTTGCTTCACTGCTCTGCTGCTGCCATTTGAAGTTCTTCCCTCTTCTCAGAAGTCTTTATGGGGCTGCCATTTTGTGTGGCGTTGACACACTGCTAGCTTATTTTGATGAAAGCACCAACTATCCCAGATAAAATCTAAGTTTGTCTATTTAAAAAAAAAAACAGCACTAGCAATTTCACACAATGTTGTAATAAAGCACCTAGGATGAGTTAAATTTGGTTTCTTTTTTTAAATTTATTTACTTATACATGTTTCCATCGTTGTTCATTTTTATACAAGTTTGAGTTCTCCTCTAAGATGCAAGGCCCACAGGACTCCCTTCAGCAAAGCACCCAAGCAAACACCGTAGTCTCTTGTGTTCTTCCCTCCTGTTCTGTTCCCTCGCCCCCTCCCTATTGAATGTCTCCAATTTATAGTTTGCCTGCTGGTTTTGTCTTTTTTTTTCCTGATGCCTTGTATGGTTCCACTATGTTTCTCCTATAAGTGAAACATCAGTATTTTTCTTTTTCCTTCTAACATTTCACTGAACATAATCCCTTCTAGTGCCATGTTGCTGTAAATGGCATGAGTTTATCTTTTTGAGTGCTGAATAGTATTCTACACACTGAGTTATTTTCAACAGGGACCACGTTTCCATTTTGTCCTGGGCTCTGTACATTCTGCAGCTGGCCCTGGTGAATGAAACTTGGTGCTTGCGCTTACTAACCTACATCTCCAAGTCTGCCGTCTCATGAGACTAATAACAGTACCCACCTCACGGGGTTCACGTGAGACTGAGCAAGATAATGGAGTACAGTGCCCGGAGCACAGTGATGGCTATCACCTGCTATCCTCTATAAGGGGTAGTTTGTGGGAGTCATTCCTCCACCTTAGAAAAGTGGGGTACATGGGGCCCACCTGCAGAGTCCACAACCAAGGACAGTGGTTGTTTCTTTCGGATCCCCAAGGTGTTATTTTGTAAGCCTGGGGCTTTGAAAGGCCACAGCAAGTCAGAGGTGGGGAGCTTCCAAAGGAATTAACCTGAATCAGTTGCTGAGAAAGAGACCAGGTGCCGGGAGCCCAGGACAGTCTCTGCTGGCGTGGCTCCTGCTTGCAGGAGAGCCTGACTGTTTCTCTTTTGCTACAGACACTGGGAAACTGTTCTGTATATCTAAGCACAAGGAACGCTTTTTTAAAAAGAAGGGCTATGTGGGCCTCTCTGGTAGCTCAGCAGGTTAAAGAACGGCACTAAGAAGCTAAAGCCACTTCAACATGAGTTTGATCCCCGCCCCGGAGGTGATCCACATGCCACAGCAGACCTCTCCTGACCCGCCTGCTCAGCTCCTCTCAGCAGTGTACTTCATCAGTAGGGCTGTTCTGCTCCCCCACTCTGTCTCTGGTGAAGCCTCTCACCCACCACATCTCTGGCCTGTACCCTAGCTCTGTATGCATAAATAAATCTTAAAAAAAGAAGAAGAAGAAGGGCCATAGGGCCATGATATCATCAGATAGAAAGGGTT